TTTGCAGACCTAACCCTGGATTAGGCACAGGCGCGTTGCCTTAAGAAACCTTTAAAGGAGTACCTGACCACTTTTCTTAAAAATTTTAAGGTCGTATCGGTTCGGGAATACCGCTGCTGTTTTTTTATTCACATCAAAATCAGTCGCATAAGAATTGGTTACAAGTTTGAAAGGTAACAGACAGACAGACAGAGTTACTTTCGAATTCATACCTAAATACATATCTACTACCAATTTCCTCGAATAATAAAAATTTCAAATCATTTTACGGTTTTTCCTCCATACCTACTTACTTACTTAAATATTGTCGTACGTATTTGTAATATCCGTCGATTTTTATTCGATTATAATCGGAATGGGACGGAAGGCGTTTTCCTGCGGTGTGGTATAATGTATTAAACATCATAAATCTGTAAAGGAAATGATAATTTTTATGTTATTTCGGTATCGGTTTTATCATGAAACGAAAATTTGTTACCTGTTCATTGTTTCTTATAAGGCTTCACATACATGGTATAAAACAAAGTCGCTTTCTTTGTCCCTATATCCTCCACATCATACACATCATCAGCCTATTAATGCCCACTGCTGAGCAAAGACCTCTTCTTATACTGTGGCAAAATAAATTTATTTTCTTTCTTTCTTTCTTTCTTTCTTATAGGGAGAAGTTTTGGCTGCTCAAGGCGGATTGGCAATTTCAAATTTATAATTAGAAATTATAAGTCCAGGTTTCCTCACGACGTTTTCCTTCGCCGCATGTCTGTGGTGTCTAAATAATCATAGAAAGTACATATATTCTCTGTGTGAGAAGAGGCATTTGCTCAGCCGTGGGCACTTTAGGCTGATGATGTCCGATGATGTCAATGTCATTACCATTTTGCCCAATATGAGAATCAAATTCGAATCATTTGCTCGATAGTCGTGTTTGTGACCATTCGGCAAATAAAGCAGTCAAACCTTTTTTCTTTTATTTTTTTTTCAGCTGACATAAATGCCTTTCGCATACACACACCGCCCGGGGAGACAGTGCGGTTTTGTAGGGCTTGCACCCACTAAAAAACGCAGCTTTCATGCCGTCTTCTGCCTTTTGGGAGAAGCCACGAGGACCAAAAACGGCTTTTGTGACCTCTCGGCAGTAGCTGGTTGCCTCCAGCTATGGGCGATCCATCTTAGCAGCAGCTCGTGCAATGCAGCAGTTCCCCGTTCTGCTACCCACTGTCTGTTGCTGGGGCGGCATCTAGGTGGCATAATGCCTCCAACGCCTACCCACCCTCCGGCGAAAAGCAGTCAAACCTAACCTAACCTACGAGTTGCGAACACAGAATAACCCAATAATAGTTTTCTTAACTCAAAAACAGCTTCCGCTTCCCCCGCGTCCGTCATTACACTCAGCCCCAAACTATTACATGAACTCGTAACTATAAAAAAACTACAGACCCATACCTAATATTTACGAAATTAAAATCTGAAAACACTTGCGCAGCAGGCACGGGTGCATCCTCTAAGCAAACGCCAAAAATCCATCATCTTAAGAATCAAAAACCAATTAAACAAATAACAATACAAAAATTAAAGAGTCGTTCACTTGACAGGAAGTGCATGCAAAACATCGTACAATATCCTCCGGCGTTCACTTCCGGTTCCTCCGCACAATAAAAAGGATATCCCTATTTTAAATAACGATAATAAAACGTGTTTGTCCCATTTCCGTATTTGGGATGAAGAAAGTAGATGTATTGTGACGTCATATCCTATCAGACGTCTGTTCCATAGAGATGGTCTTTCATTCAAAATAAAAACTGTTTAGACTTTTAATATATTTTACAAATTGAAAAATTTCTATTATTGTCACCTTTTTTTCATGATTTATAAATAGGTAACTACCACTAACTAACGTTGTGTTTCGTCGGGTCGGGTGTAATCATACCCCCCCCCTACTCCCCCATATCCTTAAATCTCTATTATCCCAGAAGAAGACAGTAATGCACTTGTATTCATAGACTCTTGTATTATTACAAGTGTCCGTGTCCATGAGCGGAACTCCATAGACTCGTTTACCGTCGTATGACAGTACAAAAAAATATCAGTACCTATTCGCAAAAGCGTCTGCCGAGTAATACATTTCAAAATCTCATTCCTACGTTGAGATTTTCCGATTTTGAGGTACAGTGCGGCCGACGTATCTTGGCGAGTCTGAAGTCAGCCGATTAGCTGCGCAGTACACGATTTTGTTCCTAAAACATCCATTGCGCAGACAAACGGCTAACTTCAGACTCGCCAAGATACGTCGGCCGCGCTGTATAGTCTTAGCGTGGTCTTAGGAGTGTATCTCTGTCTCTTTCTCTTACTCCATATTACTGGTGTAATCTTGGTGTTATTAATAATATCTGAGATAGCCACCTTTTACGCGTAGGTACAGCGTATGTATGAACTGCTTGCCCGTACACTGAGACGTGTTTGTTATAATATGTATTTTTGTTGTCAACGAAGTATGTATTTGAGTATGCTTAATTATATTGATTTCATGATAACCTACCTCTTTTTTGTGAAGGGAAAATCATCAAATACTTCTCCCGCAAAGGGCTGGGCGGGAGGGAGTGTCAGACTCTTACTGACTAAAAACCCCCCTGCTCCTTCTCCTGCTCTGGGCCGAGGTCGCGGTGCCTCATTGCGCTTACCCCGCAGCCCCGGCTGAACATCAGCCCTATAGGGCCCCGTCTGTGGTGGTCTATTGGCTCTATGAGGCGCGCGCGGAACGCTACGCGCCGATAGCAACCCATTAGGTACTTTATAAGCTAGTGTGATAGCCCTCATATTTGCAACGCCTGAAAAAGGCCGTTCAAGCTGTGCCTGTTATTTTCATTTAGGATCCTAGTACGTATATTAGCGTAACATTCAAATAAAGAAAAAAAACCATCTCTTCTCACCGGTATTATCAAATGAAGGAAAGTTATCGAATAACTTTTACCGCTCTGAATGGGGCGAGAGGCAGTGTCTGACTCTTACTGACTAAAAACCCCCCCGCTCCTACTCCTGCTGTGCCCTAATGATAAAGATGATGCCAAGAACACCCGCAAAACCAGAGAAGTTACAAGTGCGTTGCCGCCCTTTTGGTTATTTGGGTTTTAAGTATTTAGGGCCCCGGTAACCTAACTCACACGGCGAAACACAACGCTGTGGTTGTTTCACGCCGGTTTTCTGTGAGGCCGTGGTATCGCTCCGGTCGAGCCGACCCATTCGTGCTGAAGCATGGACTCTGTCACACTTGAAAACTTTACCAAGGATAAATGAAAACAACGCAAGATAATTATGGAATTGGAATTTTATTAAAATAATATTTACAAGTTGTTTTTTTTAACGTAAATCTAACGTTTTATTACTTATGGCAATATGACACTTATACCTAAAGGAATAATGCCTACAATCGTATGATAGATGATTTTCAAAATTGACCAAAAAAATCTGCGTACTCGTACTTTTATAGCCACAGACAAGAATTCAAAAAGAAAATTTAAACAAAAATCATCACTCACACGATAAAATAGACATTTTTCTTTTATTTTTTCGAAAATATATCAAAATTTTTTGTTTTATGAATTTTCCATACATATTTACCGATTGGTGCTTAAACCTTACACACGATACATTATTCGAATCGAACCCGCGACACTAATACAGTCAATTACTAAGCCACTCTTTCAAAAACCTATCACAAAACAAAAAATAATTATTATATTTATATTACAATAACTTATTCCTATATAATATACTATTTACAAATTCTTATATATATATTTTATATACTTAAACAGGATATTACAATGTTTTGGAAAATGTAACCTTATAACATTTAAACTCCATAATAAAAATGGACACCCATCAATTTCCAAGCCGCGGCAAGCTACACTTTCCAATCCACGCAGACCCTAACTATATTTTCAAAATGGAATTTTTATATCTAGGAAAGAAAGAGGTTTTATATTTATAAATTTTATTTTAATTATTATTTTTAATTGAATAAATAAAAAAAATAACATAATATACGAAATATACAAATATGTGCAAAAAATTCTTTGTTTTTTTTTTAAATTAAAATACGGTAATAATAGGTCTTTACCTATGAAATTGCCGTCCTGCAGTACTGGCCATTTCAAATCAAAATAGTTTTCGTTAGGCTAAGGCTAATTAATTTTGTTTTAAAATCATGGGATTCTTTTTCCAAAAGTAGTCATTTGTTTATTGATTAGTGTTACATTTTCATCGCATTTCAAATCAAAAAATTCGTTTAAATTTTTTTATGCAAAACGGCAATTTCATAGGTTAGTTAATGACCTATTATTTTAATAAACTTTAAGACTTGTTCAGTTCATCATTATCCATGGTCTTTATGTACCAGTTAAATTTGAGTATAGAACATTATCTGTACGTCCTATGTATCACATAAATTTATCGGGAACTTTTATGTAGCTTGTAAAACAACCACTGAGTTATTACCACCGAGAGGAATTATTAAATCAATAATGTTGGTCAGCTAACTCAAGGAACTTAATATTTCTATTTTTTGGGGTGAAATCCGAATGATTTTACCCAAACTCTATCTATTAAAAAACCGCAACAAAATCCGTTGCGTAGTTTTAAAGATTTAAGCATACATAGGGACAGAGAAAGCGACTTTGTTTTATACTTGTAAAATTGATTATGTATTTTCCAAGATTTTGGAATAACCTCAACAGTTATTTTTCTTCAGACAACGACTTGAAAAGTTAGATTTAGGGCTGATTTTTCAATAGTCAGATAAATGTTATCTGAGGAATAAAATTGTTGCTGTCACTGTCTTATACAAACATTCTGACGCGACAGCATCATAATTATTCCCCAGGTAACTTTTATCTAACCATTGAAAAATCAGCTCTGAAGGATAATTATATTCGTTAACATAAGTCGTAAGGAGAAAACATAATTAATTTATTACAACTTCGTGGTAAAATTGATTCTTACTGTTTCATGCCATTTTAGCTTTTAAATATACCGCATTAAGGGTCTTTATGTATGTACAATAGTTATTTCATCATGTATATCAATTTGTTTGAATTTTTCTGTCAATAATTAAATTTTAAGTTGCTCGATTTTGTGGAAATAAAATCAGTTGTACCGTTCCCGCTTGAGGTACAATGGACGTCGGAAATTTGGTCAATAATAAATTAACTCATCTAACCCCAAGGGAACGCCGGCGTTTGCAGAACTATCGTCTTACATAACCACGATTGAAAAGTCAAAAAGAAAAATAAAACAAGCCTTTTTTTAGTTGTCTGATATAAAAAAAAGATTAAGGAAAAATCTAAAATTCTACAAAAAAAACATAGGATTACTTGTAGATAACAGGATAACGATTCAAACTCAACATGGCGCCCGATGAACTGTCAGTTTTGACGTTTCATTTGACAGGTCAGCCATGACAGTTATTAAATAGAGGACGAGAAGAGAGAAATATGGAATGTTACATTCCAGATAATTGGAAAAATATTATTTTTATACCAAATATATGGTAAAGTTTTTGGAAATAAGTATTTAACAACTTGTGTCCTAGTTAAAAGAGCAGTCAACGTCGTTCAAACATATTTAGCCTTACCTATGCGGTAATAAAGGCTATATTCGCAGTTCAAGTAACAATTTTCGACAAATATTTTCTTTTTACATTAATCACTTTTTTTGCTACTGTACACATATTTTTTTCATAACTAATATTGCACAAGTATCACTTTTTCGCCTTGCTTCGCTCGCTCCAAGTATGAATTTATTATAATATTCGATTTAAAGACTACCTACTTTAGTTTTTTAACAAGAAAATATTAATTTTATTAAATAATAAATTAATTTTATGAATTTGAAAATGCGTGTAACAGCGTAGTGAGATTTAAAAAATTAAAGAAGAGTAAAGAGTATGTAAAACTACGTATCAATCCTTGGACGAGCGAAGTATTATCTTCACATAATTATATTTTTTTTTCTATATAAATTTTCATCATTCTGATATGCACAAAAACGTCAAAACACGTGACAGGAATGAATTTTTCATAAGCAAATATCAATAATAAATGCATAAGGTATGTAAACGGTACGAATCCGTTACAAAACAACAGACAAAAATATTACAATAATAATAATAACAACAACCGAACAATTAAAAAAGAGAAAAACCTAAATGACAGCTGTCAAAATCGACGAAACGTCAAAGTGACGCACGTTGACAGGTGTCACGTACGGGGAAATAGACGAAACGTCATTTTGACAGTTGACAGTTTTGGGTTTTCTTTTCTTTTTTTTTTTTAATAATATTGGATTCAGACAGTCAAACTGGTGATCAACTGTTCGCACAGTTTACCATACTCCCTCTGGTCACCGGAAATCCGTCGCATCTTCAAACCCTTCTTCTCCATAGCTTTGTTTTCGCATAGAACTAGCTCGATTTGAATACCGCCCGAATATTCCAAATTTAAATACCCTGTTAGGGTTCCGTCGCCGTCTTTCTGGTCGGTTTCGACGAATATACTTTGCGGCGGAACCCTTGTGTTTATAGCTTCTTTTAACAGCTCCACTATTCTTTGAGAATCTAGTTTGGAGCATACAGTTGATAATGTGACTTCATAATATTCTTGTACGCAGGAAACTTTTTGAGGGCTTAACAGTATCGGTATTTTCTCCTCCGGCCTACAGATTTCTGTCAAACGTAGGTCCATAGTTGACCTCTGAAGCTTCTCAATCTCCTCGCTAGGTGGCGTGCCCTCCTCATCGCATTTCTCCAAACACTGCCTACTATTATCCCTAGACATGTAAACATCTTCGTAATACTCTTTCACCTCCCCCAAGGTGCCCTGCGCGGAGAATGATGATCGCGGCGTTTCCCCTTTCTCCGAGAAGCTGCCCCTACCGAAATCGCTTCGTTCAGAAAACGAGGACCGTCCGAAATCCCCTCGTTCAGAGAAAGAGCCTCGGTCGGAAAAGGAGAATGACTCTCGGTGTTCAGAGAAGCTGCCTCGATTCTCGCTAAACCCTGAGCTTATGGAGACGATATTCGAGTAAATTGACTGAATATTTTGTTCGCAGTTCGGAGATACATTCGCAGAATCGTTGCTTAGGGAATCGTCGCTAAAACCTAATGATTTATCGCTACCCCGGCGCGGATACTTCATTTCTTCTGTCAAGAACTTGGCCGTTTCATCGACACTTTCTTTAGGCGATTGCATTTCTGCGTCGTCGGGAGCCGGTTCCTCTTTAGGCTCCGTTTGTTCCGTCTCCTGACTGACTTTCCTACCTATGCCCTTGGTTATAGAAGGCCTATCGTCCAAGTCGGATGGTTCAGAGATCACGAACTGAGGTAGAGCATACTTGGTATTCTCCAAACTATCCATACTGTCTTCAGAAGACGACGCTACCAGCGTAATTTCAGATCCTAAGCAATCAGTTAGACTGATCTGTGGATGTGTTGGAGTGAAACTGGGTACGTACCTCATGTTTTCTTGAAAGGCCTTGTCTAAATGGCTTCCGTTTCCGATCTCTTCTTGAATCATGTCTAAAGGAGACCCTGGGTTTGAGATGGGGGAGTTGTTTAAGGACCTATGGGTCACCATGTGGATTTGAGAGTGGACTAAAGGGTGTAGTTGCTGATACTGCCCTGTGTCCATATCCACATTACTTCTTAAATCTAAGGGTGTTGCTGATGCTTGAGGGGTTCCTCTCGTTATGGATCCAGTGTGGAGATAGCTGAGACCTTCAGTGATTTGGTGTAGCGGTGAGCCCGGGCTGGCGGGTGACGTATGTCCGGACAGAAGAGCGAAGTTATTGTACGAGTGGATGGACTTGAGGATCTCTTGAGATATGTTCACGTGTGGGTTGTAGAGCGCGTGGAGATTGATGCCGATTTTCATCGCTAGGTCCTGTTGAAAAAGATTAGGATTTAGTATACGGATATAGAATAATATATTTGATCGTTTTTTTGGCCATGCTTCGGCACGAATGGGTCGGCTCGACCGGAGTGATACCACGGCTTCACAGAAAACCAGCGTTCTTCCGGTAAGCAAACCCAAAGTATCAAGGATTTTTCCATAATTATGTCGGCAAACGATCAGATAGATTACCTGATGTAAAGCAATCAGCGCCAACACACCGCAGTAGTTATTTCACGCCAGATTTCAGTGAAGCCAGCCGAGTATCACTCCGTTCGTGCCGAAGCATGGCTCTCCCACACTTTTACCGAGTCAAAAGTCTTTTGAGAGCTTAGAGATTGGAGATTTAGGGATTATGGATAGTAGTGAGACGGAGGTTACTACGACCCATTCGTGCCGAAGTTAGGCTCTCCCACACTTTTACTGAGTCAAAAGTCTTTTGGAGCTTAGAGGTTGTAGATATGGGATATTTAAGGATTATGTATAGTAGTGGGACAAAGGTTACTACGACCCATTCGTGCCGAAGCATGGCTCTGCCACACTTTTACCAAGTCACGAGTCTTTTGGAGTTTAGAGATTGGAGATATGGGGTATTTAGGGACTCTGAATGGTAGTGGACAGAGGTTACTATGTTTACTTCTTACCTGAGTAAGCACCAGCGTGGTATGTAGCTCCATGGCGGCTGGGTCTGTCATGATGTTCCTGACTGCCATCAGAACAGCTCGGGCTGCTTCAGGAGACACTGTGTTCAGGTCCAGAGGAGATGCTGTGCCCACGCATTGGTGGATTGGTGACCCTATAATGAACATGGACCATGAAACAATGTCTTTTTTACAAATAGGCCATAAAACAGCACTTTTACCCGTCAAAATCAAAACTTTCAAACTAATATTATAAATGCGAAAGTAACTCTGTCTGTCTTTTTTTTCTTCACGTCGAAACTACTGAACCTATTTGTTTGAAATTTGGTACGGACATAATTTGGAACACGAGAAAGGACTTGGGATAGTTTTTATACCAAAAATCTGCAGGAACTCACTATTCCACGCGTACAAAGTCGAGGGCAAAAGCTAGCTAGTAGGCCATAAAACGGCACTTTTGCACGTCGTCAGCATTATATATGAAAAACTAAATGAAGCCGGCATTTCCTATCTGACTACTCCAAGAATAAATGCCAAAACAAACTTAGTAATGCGTGCAACATTCAAAAAACATCCGTAAGTCATCCATTGGGGATGTTGATTGACTATTTTTAATGTCCGTCTAGTCATTGTCATTATCATCATCATCAGCCTATAAGTGCCCACTGCTGAGCAAAGGCCTCATCTCAAACGGAGAAGGTTTGAGCATTAATCACCACGCTTAGTCAAGGCCGGTTAGACGATTTCAAACTTATAATTAGAAATTACATTACATTCCAGTTTTCCTCACGATGTTTCCCTTCACCGTATGTCAGGGGTGTCTAAACAATCATAGAAAGTACAAGTAACTCGGAAAAAGTCACATTGGTACTTGCCAGGTTTTGAATCCGACAAAAATCTTATTCCATTTGGACCAGTAGTTTTTGAGATGAGCGCAGACAGACAAACTTTTCAAGTTTAAATTAACAGTATAGATTAGTAACACTCTTAGATTTATACACTCACCAGGCATCGAAGTCCCAGGTGTATGTAGTCTGACATCAGCGTGAGGGGGCGAAGCGCCCGGGCCTCCGCCACGTCGCTCTAGGCCTCGCTGTAATAATAATAATTAAGATTAAATTTACTGCATATATGTGTCCGACTGACTGCACAGTTGCTAAGTAATTGGCTGCCGTGCAACGTGTCGAGGGTTCGATTCCCGCTCAGAAGGTTTTTTTTGTGTGATCCACGAATTGTTGTTCCGGGTCTGGGTGTGATGTGTATGTAAAATTGTATGTTTTTAAACGCATCCGAGAAAATTTCTCGTTATAAAATATTTTAATATTATAAATGTGAGTTTATGAAAAAGTAAGAATGTATAATTATTATTCTTTAAAACGGCTAAACCGATTTTGTTGAAATTTGTTATGTAGATAGATGATATCCTGGATTTACACATAGGCGTCTATTTATCAACATACCACGCGGGCGAAGCCACGAGCTATAGCTAGTTTTTTTATGGTATAAGTCGGCAAACGAGCAGACGGATTACCTGATGGTAAGCAATCAGCGCCGCTCATGAACAACCGCAACACCAAAGGAGTAACGAGTGCGTTGCCGGCCTTTTGGGGATAGGGGTTGCGGATATAAGGATCGGGAAGGGATAGAGGAAGCCTCCGCTAACCTCACTGACACGGCGAAACACAACGCTGTGGTTGTTTCACGCCGGTTTTCTGTGAGGCCGTGGTATCACTCCGGTCGAGCCGACCCATTCGTGCCGAAGCTTGGCTCTCCCACTTATAGATGTCTAATAAGGATGGATGTTGTAAGATGTATGTTTGGAAAAACATACCTGTAGCTGTTGATATTCAAGTCTGGCTGAGGCGATGTCATGCGCAGCCCGAGGGGGGGAGCACTCCGCCCGACGGACGGGGGAGTATCTCTCTGCATGTTCACGTGCTGTAAGTTGGTTAAATAATTATTGTGTGTTTCGGTAAAATTTATTATTTGTTCTTTCCTATCACGGGACGACAAGGTCCCGGACCTTTGGATGGCGTACGAGAAGCCGAAGCCAACTCGCAGAGGCCCGTTGAACAGATTTAATCTAAATGTGATGGGACATCAAATTTATTATTATTATTATTGAGTAAAGAGTGGTATTGTAGTAATAAAATTGTCAGTGGTAGTTTGGCTGCTTTTTCTAGGGGGAGGGGGGATTAATGAAATGACTTCTTCCATCCTGTGTGGGGCGAGAGATTTTGGTTTTTTAGTCAGAGTTTTACTGACTAATAATCAACCCGTTCTTTCTGTTCCAAGCTGGGGCTGAAGGGTTTTTGTTGTAATTCTTAGACCTGTTTTTAGTTTAGAATTTTACTAAGAACTGAATTTTATATCGACAAAAATGTTATGCATAAAAACTCAATTTGATAGATATTTAATATTTGGTGACAGAAAAAGTAATTAAATTGAAACTATAGAACTGTTCTATATAAATACTCTTCGTTCAAAACTCTTTTATGGTAGATAATTACAATCTTAATTGACAACAAAATATTGTATACTTAGGGCTGATTTTCCAATGGTTAGATAAAAGTTACCTGGGGAATAATTATAATGCTGTCGCGTCACAATGTTTGTATAAGACAGTGACAGCAACAATTTTATTCCTCAGATAACATTTATCTGACTATTGAAAAAGCAGCCCTTAAAGAAAACTTAATAAGTTAGTTGCACAAAAAAAACAAACTACACACTGACACGCGCATACCTACGAAAGTGCACACAAAATACATAAAACACACGCACACAAACATACGACTTAGCAAAAAAAAAACTAACATGCAAATAACAACAAAAACCTCTAAACACACCACAAAAAAAATTAATAAAATAAAATATTACCTTCGATGGAAATGTTATAATAACTGAAAACAATTAATTTCACCTATGAATGTTATACGGTAGATATAATGATAAAAATACGGTAGTTTCCAACTAGTCAAATTCAATACTTTTATTGAAATGTCAAAAACTATACTTTTCTATGAAATTTGTATGAAACACTGAGTTATTACGTCATAGTATTTTCACGTCAAATAGCTTACTTATTTCTTAAAAATTGCCAAAAATATATCTAATATGAAGTGTATCGATCGATCGATGAATAAAAGTATAGTTATTTTTCATTATTTTATTGTATTGAAACGTCGAATTAATTTATTTTTGACCTAGGAAACTACCCAATTACCAAGTCTGCTATTTTCAAAATATTTCATTGTTGAAATTTTTTTAATCTGTTCATTCATAGTGACTGACCATTGAGCCAGAGATGTCATAATATAATACTACTGCATTATATTACTCATTCACCACCGGTAATTAACTCAATTACAAAAAAGTGGGAAATAATGATTTTATTTATGCAACTAGCTTCTCTCGCTCCGTTTCACCCGCTGCTCAGCTCCATTTGATCGTAGCGTGATGTTTTATAGCCTATAGCACTCAGGAACATTGTAGCTATCTATCAGTAAAAGAATTTTGGCAATCCGACCAGCGGTTCCAAAGATTACCCCCTACATACAAACTTACAAATTTTACCCTCCCGTTCCTTCTACTGCTAAGAACCATATCCGCGTAACGTTATTGCGACAACAAATACCCTTGACCTAGAAAAAACCCATCACCTTCTTGTAAGAAAAAATATAGAAATAAAAAATTGGAAAATTACCCATTTCCTGCACTGTGGCTAACATTTGCAATTTGATCCGTTGAGGTCCGGAATACTTTCTTTGTTTGCCGTTGTACTGTCCGGAGTTATAGCTATTACTAGTCACAGGAATCGGGGTCCCGGCGGTAATAGAACCGGGGGCATTCTGGTAATTCTGAGACCCTTGGTTCATAGGCGTCGAGTAATTTTGGGGAGGTGGATAATTTTGGCTCATTTGGCTACCAGGAGTGGGGTAATTTTGATTTCCTCCTGTTAGATTAGGGTAAGAATTTTGGTTCATTAAGGACCCTTGATTTTGATGAGGCGGCTGATACCCCTGGTTCATAGGAACTTGGGCGTTATTGAACGAATCCTGACTTGAAAAGAACCCTTGTTGTATAGGGGTCCCTTCAGTAATAGACCCCTTTTTCATAGGTGTCGGTATAAAAGATTCTGAATTGAAAGAGCTTTGGTACATAGGAGTATTGTCAAACGCCTGATTAATTGCAGGATTCGAGAAAGACCCTTGAGGGCCACCGATAAATGAGCCCTGAATAGGCGGATTCTGGAACGATCTCCGGCCATGTATAACTGGTTGGTTTTGGTACTGTGTTGTGATTGGGGTGCCGTCGGTTATAGAGCCTTTTTTTATGGGCGTGCTTGAGAATGGAGGATTTGTACTTTGGTAATTTTGACCCATAGGGCCTGATTGGAAGGGATTTTGAGAAATAGGCGTACCGTCAGTTATTGAGCCCTTTTTAATGGGGGCGTTCGAAAACGTATTTTGGCTCATAGGGGTCTGCTGATACGAACCTTGGCTCATGGGTTGATTTTGGAAGTTATGGTTAATTGGGGTCCCACTTGTGATAGACCCGAAATTATTCACATTAGGTGTATTATAGGAACAGCTAGGGATGCTGCCATAACTGTTGGAGCTAAAGCTGCCAAAATTCTTTGTATTGTCATAGGTAGGGGTTCCAGAAACAATGGAACCTTGATTTACTGGAGTCCCACTGGTAATAGACCCGACATTTTGAGCGACATTACCATGATTTGACGAAAACTGACCCATTGTGGGGGTGAAAGGGGAGACAGCCTGGGTTATTGGGGTCCCAGACATTATAGACCCCTTGGTACCCATAATAGAGCCTTGTGGAATGGTTTGTAAAACAGGTTTCATGGACTTTTGGTTTCCTGTATTCTGGCTGTAATTTGGAGTGCCAGCAGTGATCGAGCCTTGGGTAGGAGATTGGGGGACAGGATTGGGGATTGGTCCCGTTGGGGTGGGGGGGCTCTGGTAACCACTTTGGTTCTGATATTGCATGGAAGGTGGCAAATAATTCCTCTTCATTCGAGCTTCGACCTCCATTACTAATTCTGGGCTTATAACTAAAAAAATAATAACAAATAAAACAATAAAAGCGAAATAAAAAAATGTACAAAATTTAGCGAAAAAACTGAGGATGCAATTCTACTGGGTCCATGCTTAATGCTTTATCTACTTGAGGTCAAACTTTGGATGGGAAATGTTGAGATTTTTATTTACATATTACAGTACTACACTGGTAACCCGCTGGCTTCGCGAGTATGATATTACCCGAGTTGTCGCGTGGATTTTCTCAAAAATTTTAATTTGGTCCAACAGCTTTGCAAATTTTGCGTTCAATATTAGCGTTTTGAGTTATGAAGATTTCTTTGTTTTTATAAAAGATAACAAACTTTATTTATAACTCTCAACATTTCCTTAAGCAAAAAAAAATGACAAATAGGTATTTTTAAAAAATCTAGCATCGCAAATAACATCTAACAATATAAATATTTATACTAATTTCTTCTTCTACTTAATGGTTGACAGTAAAATTCGACCAAGTCGTAAAAAAACAGTTACTTGACTTGTCGTATTTATATGTTGTAACGATAACTTTTTTGCGTCACATAGAATTAATATTTCTTGAAAATAAGGCAAAAAACATACACACATAAAGTATATAGTAAAAACAATACAATAAAGTGTGTGTTATAACTAAGTCAATTACAATTATATCAAAACTGAACTCTTTTTTCACTTGAATCAAAAGCGCGTATTTTACCCCCTTATAGAGATAAATACAGACGCACAAATACAAAGTAAGACCAGCTTTTTAACAGTTATTTTAAGTCTTATGTAACATATTTTTATATTATATTGTTAGATGTTAAATAAAGAAATGTGTTTGGATATATTGTTATTTTGAATTTCATACTAAATCATCGCGACTCGGTCTACATCATCGCGACTTTAGGACCTTAAATTAGGCTTTTAGTTCAGAATTTCCTATCCAACTATTCAAAAACACCGAAAGCAAATTAGAAGACTTTCTAGAGGCCACAGATCAACACGCAACGAAAGATCCATGCATGGTCTTTTCGGTCTTTTCACGAAAAGACCATAGTATAAAATTGAAAATAACAATATTTCCGTTCATTCTAACACGTAACACATCGCAAAACAAACTATATACGTGGTCTTTTTAATAGACTTACCCGGCGGTCTTTCGGTGACAGTCAAAAGACCGGTTCTTCTCACTCGTATGCTTGTTGTTGAGGACGGTGATGTACTTTGCTGTTGATAAACGTAAATTGATTATTATTCTGAAGAAGACTGGTCTACAGTTGTCGTATATTAAGAGGGGTAGGCAGAGTAGTAAATTGACTGTTTGCCTTTTTTCTCGTATTTTTTGCTATGATACCTATCCAGTATTTCAATTCTAACTAGAATTTTAGTTGCTTTGCAGTTTAAATTAGTAAGAATTTCGTTCAAAAAATCTAATAATATTTTAGTCAACTTGAATTTGAAAACCAATTCGGATAAAAAAAATATGTATAGGTATATAGCAGTAAACAAAAATAACTAATTTCAGCAAAATAATACCTACCATTTAACACAAATTTTTCAAGTAAACCATTATACAACTCACCATAGATCCGGTACTGGAAGTGACGACATTGGCCGCGTCTTCCGGAGTCGCCATAGTATGCCGCTTACTGCTGCCTCGGTTCATCATATATCTACCATGAAGATACGAAAGCCAAAATTAATAAGTGACTTCTTTCGCGTAGAACAGTGACTTCCTGCAGGTTTTAGATATAAAAACTATCCTATGTCCTTTCTCGAGTTCCAAACTATGTCAGTACCAAATTTCACAGAAATCGGTTCAGTAGTTTAGGCGTGAAGAAAAGACAGACAGACCGACAGACAGATTTACTTTCGAATTTATAATATTACTTTAGATTGGAACCGACGGATCCCCTGATGGTAAGCAATTATGGCGACCAAGGGCAATAAAAGTTACAGGTACCTTATCAGCATTGTAGGGGTTTGAGGATTCTTTGGATGTGGAGGGTGAGGATTGGGTCCCAGTAAAGGCAAGCGTTACCTAGTTAACTAGCCGATGGCTTACCTGATGGTAAGCAAAAATCGCTGCCTAAGGACACCCGCCACAGCAGAGCAGTTACGAGTGCGTTGCCGAACTTTTGAGGATTGATGATTTGGAGATTTGGGGTTTTAGGATTGGGGGAGGGCAAGAATTGGGTCTCTGATTACTTCACTCACACGGCGAAACACAACGCTGTGGTTGTTTCACGCCGGTTTTCTGTGAGGCCGTGTCGACCAGACAAACCGACCCATTCGTGCCGAAGCTTGGCTCTCCCACATTCTAGGATGGATGATTCTCCCACATCTATAATAAAAGGGGGAGGGGGGGGGCAAGAATTGGATCTAAGGTAATAATATCCCCCAAAAAAAAATGGTCTTTAATATCTCACCTGCATAAGTTAGTGTTGTAAGCAGAATCTGTGTTTTGTTCCTCAGATTGCTCCGTGTCTTCGGCGCGAGCTGGAGTGCCACTGTCTGATACCTAGAGGAGAAAAACATGAGATATTAATATTAATATACACTATATAATATTATAAAGCTTTAGAGTTTGTTTGTTTGTTTGAACGCGCTGTACTCCGGAACTGCTGGTTCGAATTGAACAATTATTCTTTTTGTGTTCGTTATCCATTTATCGAGGAAGGCTATAGAGTATAAAACATTACGCTACGATATGTAGGAGCCGAGCAGCGGGAGAAACCGCGTGACAGTAGCTAGTTAAAAAATAACGAAGGAAAGTGAAGAAACTTAGACGAAGTTCTTAAGAGATTTCGTTATTATTAGAAACCCGATAACTAATCGTCTGTGGTGGTTTATTGGTCGGGCGGCGTGGAATAGCGGCCTAAGGGTGGGCAAGAACCCCTCTTTGAGGAGGGCTTGAGAGACGCCACGGCGTCCTCACCTTCCGTCTGACGCAGGTGCTTACCGGGCATGGCAGCTTTGGTAGGTTCCTGTTTCGGATCCAGCGGGAGGAAACGCCCGAGTGTCGTCATTGTGAGGACCACCTGGAGGACACGGTGGAGCATACGGTGGCGGAGTGCCCTGCTTGGGCTGAGCACCGCCGTATCCTCAGGGAAGTGATCGGCGGCGGCGACCTCTCGCGCCCGGCCTTAATCGAGGCCATGGTGCAGCGTGAGAGGAACTGGGAAGCTATCTCCTCCTTCTGCGAAGCAGTTATGCTCGCAAAGGAGGAGGCGGAGCGCGTGAGGGAACTATCCTCCTCGCGCCCCAGCCGCCGCAGAAGGCGACATTCCGGACGTCGGGGATCGAGAGATGATCTCCGGCCACCGTAAGCGCGGGTCTGCGGACGGCGAGTAAGGGTAGCTCGCCGCCCGACCAGAACTGGACCCGAGCGTACGGCGCGTAGCGTTCCGCGCGCGCCTCAAAGAGCCAATAGACCACCACAGACGGGGCCCTATAGGGCTGATGTTCAGCCGGGGTGGAGGGGTAAGCGCAATGAGGCACCGCGACCTCGGCCCAGAGCAGGAGAAGGAACGGGGGGGTTTTTAGTCAGTAAGAGTTTGACACTCTCTCTCGCCTTATCCTGGGCGGGAGAAGTCATTGGATGATTTTCCTCTGACAAAAAAAAAAAGGGTGGGCAAGAAGGGTAAAATAAATAAAGAATGATACATACATGATGCGCGGGCGCGGAGTGGCAGCAGGCGCGGTCGCGTCCGCGCGCCACGTGTGCGCCGCCGTCCGACGCGCGCCGACCGAACGTCGACGCTGGAACACACACACTCACCTTACTACTCGCTATATTTTACTATAAAACACAATCATATGCAGGCGTGATACTATCACAGCGTTGTGTTTCGCCGTGTGAGTGAGGTTACCGGAGATCCAAAATCCCTTGTCTTTACAATGCACTCTTAACTTCTCTGGTTTTGCGTGTGCTTGCTTACCGTCAAGTAACCCACAAAGAGCCGGCAATTACTTATCTGTTGGTGTTACAATTGCTTGCCTTCAAGTAATCCGTAGTTTATAAATAATTAAACATTAATAGCTGCGTACAATCAAACAATAATAACTTCAATAAACTTTTTTTTAAGTAAGAAATAGCCGAAAATTGCAATACTTCTTAACATGAAATCCAAAAAGAAATATATAAAACCTAAACTTATTTTTCAAGTAAGTCAATACCAAATATCAATTTAACAAAAAAATATCGCCAATACTATAAATTTTTTCATTTTTATACTTATATAATGTATGAAACACATCTTAGAATATTAAATCAAATTAAAAAACTATTCAACACTATCTTTTGTCCGCGACCTAGTTCGCGTGGACTTTCTGCAGATTTTTAGTATAAAAACTATCCTATGTCCTTTCTCTAGTTCCAAACTATGTCTGTACCAAATTTCATAGAAATAGGTTCAGTAGTTTAGGCGTGAAGAAAAGACAGACAGACAGAGTTACTTTCGCATTTATATTACGTTGGAAATAAGCACTAAAAGTGTATAATACCTTGTGTCTGCATGGCGTGGGGGGGCTTGAGCAGATGTTGGTCCTTGACGCTGAAGTACCGCGGGGGCTGATGCTGGACGGCCGGCAGCTTGGCCGCCAGGTTCGTGTTCGGGAGCAGGGACACGTTCGGAGATGCTTGTTGCTATACAAATAAAAAATTTGTTACATTGCGGTAGAATTCAGTTCATAAGAAAAAAAACTGTTCTAAAATGGATTTAAAATATAATAAAGTACACATATTATACATTTTAACGATTTATTCTTTCGGAAATGGTCATAAATTGTCCTCTGCCGGTTGTCGACCTATTACATTAAAAAAGCAGGTATTCTTTGGAACCGCTGGTCGGATTTCCAAAATTCTTTCACTGATAGATACACAGAGCTACAATGTTACTGAGTGCTATAGGCTATAAAACATCGCGCTACGATTAAATGGAGCCGAGCAGCGGGTGAAACCGTGCTACAGTAGCTAGGACTAATAAAAATAGTAGGTATACTTACATTGAAATGCGCCGACACGTAAAGCGGTGAGGGTCGCAGGTCTGCAGAAGCTGCCCCGCATACACCCAGCTCTCCACCCTGATAACAAAATCATATAAACGTAAATACCACTTATACGACAACTAGTTCTCACTTTTCAGGGTAGCCCGACTGATTTCGAGTTACTCCGAAACCTTTAGTAACAAAATAACGTGTATATTTGTATCTATTGTGAAATTTACTAAAATTAAAAATAACTACTCGTGTGAAATAACGTTCTCTGATGATGAATATCCCTTAGCTTCACTGACGAACAGACTGACAGACTACTATTCTATTTTGACATTTCAAAAGTACCTATTTATAGTTTATTATAACTTTCGTGAGACATTGTAAATTAATTATTATGTTTTCGGCTTACTCACGTAAAAATTTGTCGCACGACTGTGACTCTAGTAGCAGCGCGACAGTCGCCGAGTCGCGTGTCGCGGAATGCTGCTCATGAATATGGGCCTCTAGCATGGCTTGAAACTAGTCGAGTATCTCGTCACATTATTACGTGAGTAAGCCGAAAACATAATACCTAATTAATTGTTTATGGTTTAGTTGGAATAAACGATTTTGACTTTAACTTTGAATTAAGAGCGATGTGTTGTTTCTCAGTTAACGTCGTAATTTACATTATATAAAATAACATGTATTTTGGACGTCATCTAGTGAAATATTGTCGCATAAAATAATCTAAATATATCTAGGAATTACTTAAGGTTTATTAACCTGAAAATTTTTTTATTATGAAATAAATAATAAAAATTCAAAGAAAGCATTAATTGACATTATCGTTGTAGTAGTATTTGGCAATTATTGTTATTTGAATGCATACCTGTGTATGGCGACAGTCCCCGGGGCCGACAGTATGTCGCCTGGTGGCGTGGGTCTCCGCAGAGCTGGGCTGCGCCGGCGGGGCGGGGGGCTCGTCTGTTACCGGGGCTACTGTTGAACCGAACTGAAAGATAAAGAAATTAATTAGCTTGTATAGTTAATAGTACTAGCTTCTGTCTAAATTAAGTGTGGGAGAGCAATTTCGTCTGCCAGTACCTATAGCTAGTATACTAAATTAACTAAATGCAGATAAGCATGGCCCCTGCGCAAGGATGACACGCAAAATCGTGAAGCGTTCCACAATTTTGAGCTTTTCTCAATTACAAACGTGAGTAACCCGCGATTTTAGTTGATTTAGTATGTCTCACGATAGTTATTATAAAAACAAAGCTAGTATACTGTTAGGACTGTCCCTCAATCGCCGCATCATGGATGCACATCGCTTGCGTATAATGGCATAGAAGTCATGTATTCTGGCTTCCGCAAACACTCCTACTACAGCATCCTCCTTATATTGAAACTAGCATTGTTGACAAGTATCCTATATGTTATTCCAGACTATAATCTATCTCTGTGCCAAATTACATTCAGATCCGTTCAGTAGTGTTTACGTGAGAGAGTAACAAAGACTGACTGAGGTCCAATCTTTTCCCTCACTTCATTCCTCCCCAATCCTTAAATATCCGAAACACTTATCCTCAAAATCACCGGCAACGCACTCGTTATTCCAGACCGGAGTGATACCACGGCCTCACAGTAAAATGACGTGAAACAACCACAGCGTTGTGTTTCGGCGTGTGAGTGAGGTTGACTGGATGCCGAATCCTCCCCGCTCATTTTTTTATGGTAAAGGTCGGCAAACGGGCAGACGTGTGAAACACAACGCTGTGGTTGTTACACGCCGGTATTCTGTGAGGCCGTGGTATCACTCCATTCGCGCCGAAGCATGGCTCTCCCACACTTATCTCATCTCCTTTCCTCAAAAACCTAACCACCTACACAAGGCCGGTAACAATGTAACTCTTCGAGTGTCCATGGGCGGCGCTGATCGCTTACCATCAGGAAATCCGTCAACTCAATGCCATAAAAAGGGCTGTCTATTGACTTTAGTGCTGATGATGATGTTTCCAACTCACCTTCTCCAAGTTATCAGGTTGGTCAGTCAGGTAGTCCACTGGCTCGCACGGTACAGTGACGAGGCAATCCTGCGCTGTCGTCTCTTCTGCATCCATCTGTTCTTCTTCCACGTTCTAGAAGAGAGAGAAGAGTGTTATTGATGCTGTTATCTATACGAATATTATAAAATAGCTACTGTCACGCGGTTTCACCCGCTGCTCGGCTCCTACAGATCGTAGCGTGATGTTTTATAACCTATAGCCTTCCTCGATAAATGGACTAACAAACACAAAAAGAATTGTTCAAATCAAATCAGTAGTTCCGGAGATTAGCGCGTTCAAACAAACAAACTCTACAGCTCTATAATATTAGTATAGTATAGATAGGCGAAGTAAGTTTGTATGTAGGGGGTAATCTTTGGAACCGCTGGTCGGATTGCCAAAATTCTTTCACTGATAGATAGCTACAATGTTCCTGAGTGCTATAGGCTATAAATTATACTTGATTTGAGTATTTTAGTCGAGCTATCGCTTTAAACGCTGCTGTTTTTAAAATCATGGCATACATTAGTTTTATACGCGTAGGAAGTCACGGGCGAAAGCTAGTAGTAGATATTTTCGTCATACCAGGGGTAGACAGACATGTATTAAATCAAACTATCCCTCCCCCTTTCAAAAATGGGGGGTAAGTAAAAATTGCAGTTTTTCCAGCTTACCTTAGTACTAGTAAGATCCAAAGGTTGTCCAGTCGTCGAGTCCAATGAATCTAGAATTAAAATATTTTGATTAATATTAATGGGGATTTTACTTGGATCGGTGATTAATGATATTGGTTAAATGTAACATTTGAATTGGATAAAATGTAAAATTTCGTTAAGATTACACATGAGGCAGATCATTATTACATTTACAATACTGTACAAAATAGAATCGCAACTAACTATCAATATTATGAGTTGAATACTCGAAATGGTGATTTACGCAGGCAAAAATATTTTGAAGCTGTGATTAGTAACTTCTGCTCAAAATGGCGACTAGTGACATTAGAAGTGGTGTTGACTGAATTTTTACTCAATGTGGTGACTAATGAAGTTACTCAAATTGGTGATTATGATATTATTACCTCTATGCTGTAAGCTGTTTCTGGCGCTAGACCGCTGTTGTAATTTGTCCATTAACAAGTGGTATATAGCTGATATGTGATCGAAACGGTCCTCTTGTATAGCCTGTGTAAAAAAAATTGAATTTATTAATAATGGTTATGGAATGCTTTTTTAATAATTTTCAGTCTAAAAGAGTCATATTATGAATGGGTCGGCTTTTTTATTATTTACTGGTGCCCCAATTCCCAATTTTCCCTATTCTCAACATGCTAATCTCTCAATACTATTTATCCTATGTAACAATGTCCTTTTAAAATGGTTCCGTTTTATACAGCTGCAACTGCTGCCTTGCCTTATAAAGCCCCTTAGTGATGATTTTACACCCGCGGGAAGATCAGCGGTAAAGAGAAAAGTACTCTGCTATCATTATAAGCACTTCTGGTCTCTCTCAATGAGTTCCAGCTCGGTTGGAAGCGACCAGCATCCACTGGATCCCTACTTTCTTTGTTATTTTGCTTGTCCAGCTTCTTAATAACAATTTTTTTTACTTATAGTTATTTTCAATCGGCGTGAAACAACCATAGCGTCGTTTAGTAAGGTTACCGGCTTCCCCCCCCCCCCTCTCACCATAAGGGAGCGGTATAGGAGGATCCAATCTATAAATATCCGAAACCCCAATCCCAAAAAAGTTGGCAACGCACTCGTAACTTCTCTGTTGTCCATGGGCGGCGCTGATTGCTTACCATCAGGTAATCCGTCAGTGGGTAGTTACCTGTTCGATGAGTAGATGCGTGAGTCCGGGCAGAGTGAGCATGTGGCGGCGCACGGTGTCGGCGCAGTGTGGGGACTCCGCCCCCGCGCCCCCCGCGCCACCCGACGCCTCCGCTGAGTGACACGCACACGCACCCAGGCTCTCCTCTGTACACACAGATACACGATTCACAGTTTTGTAAGTGGGGATTAAGATAAGTCATGTGGTGATTAAGTCTTATAAGTGATCCTTAAAATGACATTTAATTTAAAGGTGATTACTGTTATAATTGTTGTTAGTTGCAGTATAAAACATCTTTATAGTATAATATTATCAACTAAAATATTAATAATATTCGTAGAGTCTGTGAAGAAACAAAATTGATATAGGTATGTGATTATAATGATAATGAATTATGAAAACGGTGATACCATGTGATGGCGATTTACAAAAAATATAAAAGGACATGAATTATTATTAAAAGTGACGATCCTTAAATGTTTATGTAATGATTAGCCCTCAAACGCATTTACAGTCAAATCTTTCCCTCACCGATTCCTCCCCAATCCCTAAATCTACGAAACATGAGTGCTACGAAACTCCTTTGGTATTGCGAGTCCGTAGGCGGCGCCCATGCTTACCATCAGGTAAATCGTAGCCAAGTTTTCAAGATCTATTGATGACAAATAAAGTCTTTCTTTCTTTCTTTTAATGATTATTAACCAGATCCAGGCAAGAAACTATTTATTATTTATTTATTTAACTTTATGCACAAAGTACATAGGTGGGCTTAATGCCTACAGGCATTCTAACTAGCCAACCTTTGGGTGTTTTATTTATTTATTTATTTATTTAATCATGAACAATTTATATTGTATTTGATGTCAGTATATGATAAAAATTTGCATGCAATGTAACACTAAAATAATACAAAAATAACATAGAAATTATATAAAATTGCATTTACAAAAATATTAAATTGGAATTAACTAAATTATAATTCATCGAATGTGTACAAGTTTCTCGCCAACAGAAATTCTTTTAACTTAGCTTTAAAAGAGCTAGTATACAATGAATCTTTTAAATCTGCTGGCAGCAGTTTATTAAATATTGTTACTACTTGGTATTGAGGACTATGCTTGGCAACATTTAGGTTAGGTACAATTTTATAATTGAAGTCCTTTCTGTTGCAGTGAAAATATGGTCGGTGAAATAAAGTAGAAAAAAAAAATACAAGTAATTACTCAGTTACAAAGCATAATACAACAGATAAAGCAACGTTATATTTGTTTGTCATATAGGTACCGTCAGACAAGAGGTTAATGGAGTTGAATGTATGGTGTAGTACCGTATATCCCGGGTCCGGGCCCCGGTTGATGGTTGGGTCGGTGCGCGGCGAGCCAGCGATGGCGGGCGACGCCGCGCAGCGACAGGCGACGCTCGGGCTCCACCACCAACATGTGACGGATTAGGTGCTCACATTCTGGAACACAATATCATTTTATTGCAACCATTTACCTTTAAGCTAGGGTAGCAGTCTGTGCCAAATATTATATAAAACACTAGCTACTCTCGCGCGGTTTCCCTCGGCTCCATTTGATCGTAACGTGATGTTTTATAGCACTCAGGAACATTGTAGCTATTTATCAGTGAAAGAATTTTGGCAATCCGACCAGCGGTTCCAAAGTTTACCCCCTACATACAAACTTACAAATTTTGCGCGAGTGAGGTTACCGCAGGCTAAATCCCTCCCCCTCCCCCATCCCTTCCCAATCCTTAAATATCCGAAAGCCCTTTCCTTAAAAGGTCAGCAACCCACGCGTAACTCCTTTGGGCGGCGCTAATTGCTTACCATCAGGTAATCCGTCTGCTCGTTTGCCGACATACCACATAAATAAAAAAACTATTCTATTCTGTGTTACTATTGGCTAGTTATCTAGGTCAAAAATAAATTAGTTCGACGTTTCAATACAATTAAATATTGAAAATTAACTATACTTTTATTCATCGATCGATTTACACACTTACCCCCGATTTCCGAAAGGCCGATCAATGTTAAAATCAATTTAATCTCTTGTCAAGTCATCTGATTGGTTGACTGAATTATCAATAACCAATCAGATGACTTGACATGAGATTTAACAGGAGATTAGTTAATTTTAGCGTTGACAAGCCTTTCAGAAACCGGCTGTAAGTTTTAGATATTTTGTAGCTAATTATTAAGAAAAAGTAAGCTATTTAACGCAAAGATACTATGACGTAATAACTCAGTGTTTCATACAAATTTCATAGGAAAGTATCGTTTTTGACATTTGGATAAAAGTATTGAATTTAACTAGTTGGAAACTAACGTATTATGCTACATAACTTACCCTGTGACATGAAGTAAGGTATCCGAAACTTCCCGCTGAGTACAACGCTGCGCAGTTCGTGTAAAGTACTGCCGTCGAAGGGAAGCGCGCCGCATACTAACACGTACAGAACCACGCCTAAAGACTGGAGACAAACAAACAAACATATAAGTTTATAGGAGACGGCAACTGGCTGCCGTGCAACGTGTCGAGGGTTCGATGCCCGCACGGAATTTAAGTGTGGGAGAGCCAAGCTTCGGCAAGAATGGGTTGCCTCGACCGGAGTGATACCAAGGCCTCACAGAAAACCGGCGTGAAACAACTGTAACATTGTGTTTCTAAATCTTTGAGTCCGCCAAAACTCCTTATATTATTCCTTATTATCTTAATACCTTTAAGCAGTCCTCCTCTGGTGTTGCGAGTATCTATAGACGGCGCTGGTTGCTTACCATCAGGTAATCCGTAAGCTCGTTTGACAGCGTATCTTTACGTATAAAAGTACTACATAAGTGCCCTATTTGTAAAAAAATACGTTGTTTTATAAAAAATATGTATTCTTGTTAATAGGAATCGAACCCGAGACTACACAAGTACCTAAGGCAAAGAACATGTATTTGTTTAAAATATTCATTTACAATTTACGTTCACAAAAAGTTTATCGAGAGATATTTCACGCTGCTAATGATTAAGAGTCCCGTTTTGACTTGAAACTAGTTGAGTTTGAAATATTCTTGGACATACAGGCAACGTTTAAAAGTAAAAAAATATTTGTTATTATTGAGGCGGTCAAAATAAAACTGTATAGAAGATAAAGAGAACTATCCCTGTGCCAACTTACCCAGATGTCAGCCTTGGGTCCATCGTACTGTCTGCCCTCAAACAGCTCCGGGGCAGCATAAGGTGGACTACCACACCACGTCGCCAACGGAGAGCCAGCTGTGTACTCGTTACTGAACCCGAAGTCTGCCAACTGTGGGGAAAGGGAAATATTATGATTTTCTGATATTTTGTCAAGGAAAAAAATCCACAAATTGTTGAATAGGCCATCTCAACTGGAGTGATAGAACGACCTCACAGGATATCTGGAGTGAAACAACGCTTGTGATATTTGCAGCAAAACCCTCCCTCTCCCCAATCTCCAAATCCCCTTCCCCGAATCTCTAAAACGTAGATTCCACTCGTTCTTTTTCGCATCGCTGATTGCTTACCACCAGGTGATCATTTTGCTAGTCTGCCGACTAGTATTTACTAAATTTTCGCTTAAATAAGCATTTATAATCATCATCAGCCGGAAGACGTCCCCCCCCCTTAGTCCTCCATGCCGAACGGTGGCGCCAATGTAGATTTCAATCCATTTGAGAATGCGAAACTTTAAATAAACATGATTTAACCGCGGATTCAGAAGTTATTTCGCAAATTAACTTTTAGAATAGCATGACTGAAATTTGTTTGATTTTGAATCTTGGATGTGATTCTGTAAGACTTCATTCTAAACTTCGAATCTGAATCCGCTGTGAGTAGTAGTACACTAGCGCTACACTTGCGAGTTGAACTAAATTGACAGCAACATTTTGATAGATAAAGTATGAGGTGACGTTAAAAGTGGCATTCTAAAATTTAATTTCCACGTCACTTCGACACTCACTTCGCACTCGAACAAGCACGTCGATTCTATAAAATTTGTTTGATTTTGAATCTTCAATTTCACTTCTCTATCAAAATGTTGCGGTCAATTTAGTTCAACTCGCAAGTGTAGCGCTAGTGTATTACTCACAGCGGATTCAGATTCGAAGTTTAGAATGAAGTCTTACAGAATCACACCTGCACCCCCGACTCTGACATAGGAACATTATATTACCTTAATATTCATATCCTTATCGAGCAACAAGTTTTCTGCCTTTAGGTCTCTGTGGACGACCCCGTTGGCGTGGCAATACCCCACGGCGGCCACCATTTGGGCGAAGGCGCGCGCCGCCTCCGGTTCCGTCATACGACCACGGGATACAAGGTGATCTGAAAAAATTAATAAATAAAACCGACTCTAAAAATTTCGCTAAAGACTTATAGAAAGTGCGGGAGATCTATGTAAGAGCTGACGGATTACCTGATAGTAAGCAATAGTTGCCCATGGGCACCCGCAATACCAAAGGAGTTACGAGTGCGTTGCCGGTGTTTTAGGGATAAGTGTTTCAGATATTTAAGGATTCGAAAGGGATGGAAGAAGGGAAGGATTGGGCCTCCAGTAACCTCAATCACACGGCGAAACACAACGCTGTGGTTGTTTCCAGTTTTCTGTGAGGCCGTGGTATCACTCCGGTCGAGCACATTTTAGCTTAAACTTAAACTGCTTGTAGTAACTCCTTTGCTATGACCAGTGTCTATGGAACATTTTGGAACGAGCAAACAGCTTCACTAAGAAGGCTGACTGACAGACTGACACACATTATCTTTAAGCTTCAAAACTGTCACTTTTATCTTTGACTTTTGACTTTGACTTGTGTGGGAGAGCCATGCTTCGGCATGAATGGGTCGGTTCGACCGGAGTGATACCACGGCCGCACAGAAAACCGGCGTGAAATAACCAAAAAAATGTGTTTCGCCGTGTGAGTGAGGTTGCCGGAGGCCCAATCATTCCCCTACCCCAATCCGTTCTCTTTCCCAAAATTTCCAAACCCTTAATCCCCAAAAGGCGACAACGCACTCGTGGGTGTCCATGGGCGACGCTGATTGGTTACCATCAGGTAATCCTTTTGCTCGTTTGCCGACTTATAACATGAAGAAAATGATGAAGATGATAATTGTAAAACTTACCAAATATTTCACCGTTAGGCGCGTATTCTGTGACTAGGTATATCGTGTGACTGCTTTCCATAACCTGAAATATTATAGATACATGATTAGTTAGTTTCCTAGGTCGAAAATAAATTAATTCGACGTTTCAATGCAATGAAAAATAACTATACTTTTATTCATCGATCAGAAAAAAGTAAACTGTTTGACGTGAAGTTTAGTTTTTAAAACAATGAATTTTTTTTTGCAAATAGCCCATAAAACGGTACTTTTACACGTCAATTCATATGTGAAAAACTAGATGAAGCCGGCATTTCCTATCTGACTACTCTGAGAAGAAATGCCGAAACAAACTCAGAGGTCCGTCTCTTCAAGTCCAGACAATGTAAAATAACATAATGTGAGAGAACCGTGCAAGTTCATTCTGTAGTGGTCTTTTGAGGAAAGAACCACACCAGTTTAAGTGGACCCGTTCTCAAGACAGGCACGCAAGTGTCAGTTTGCAACCAGTATAGCTAGTAAGTAGTAATTTTGACATTTGGATCAGGAATAAATGTTTTTTTTTTTATTTATTTCAGAAATATTAATATTACCATTATGTATGTAGTTACCAATCACGGGACCACCCTGTCGAGAATAGGCGTACGGGGGGCCGGAGCCAACTGCGCAGAGGCCTTTTAGACAACTTTAATCTAAATGAAATGGGACACAAACAGGCGACTATCCCTGCCCTATGGAAATACACCCAAGGACAGTTCCCGGTTAGATTAACACTATTGCGGATAATGGAAAAAAGGGATAAGGAGTTTCTTGCTCGTTCTTCTCCATAGGAATCTACACTTTGGAATGAGCAAATAGCTTTACTAAAAAGGGGCTCATTGAAATAAATGATTTTGACTTTGACTTTATGGTTTTGTGTTGCTATGGACTGGTATGATGAAAACTATGGTACCTAAGTGTGGGAGAGCCATGCTTCGGCACTAATGGGTCGGCTCGACCGGAGTGATACCACGGCCTTACAGAAAACCGGCGTGAAACAAGCACTGCGTCGTGTTTCGCCGTGTGAGTGAGGTTACCGGAGGCCCAATCTTTCTCCGCCCCTAATCCCTCCTCAATCTCTAAATCTCCAAATCCCTAAGAGGTCAGCAATGCACTCGTAAATCCTTCGTTGCGGGTGTCCATGGGCGGCGCTGATTGCTTACCATCAGGTAATCCGTCTGCTCGTTTGCCGACCTATCACATAAAAAAAAACCCGGCATCGTTTTCTTACCTGATACAACCTGACAATATGAGGGTGTCTTAATTTCTTCATAATCGCTATTTCTCTGAATGTTTTCTTCAAGTTGTCCTCATCTAATCTCGATTTGTCTATTATTTTTATTGCTACCTGAAATTATAAAGAAAATATACAATTAATATTCAGATAATTACAAAAGTTTCAATGTTCGGACACCCGTACAGTAACCTTTCTTTTTTGTCAAACGATTTTCAATCTTATAACAACGGAATAGTAGTTCATCATTGTTTTATGGGATCATGCGTATTACCTGATGGTAAGCAATCGTCGTCACCCATGCCTCTAGTATACAGAAACTTCACGGCGCATATAAAGCATTTAAATATCCCTTTTTAGCAAGATAGAAGGATATTTTGTCTATCGACTCTCGCCCAAGGTGGGTCGAGAGAGAGTGTCAGACTCTTACTGACTCAGCCGGGGTTGCGGGGAAGCGCAATGAGGCACCGCGACCTCGGCCCAGAACAGAAGGAACGAGGGGTTTTTAGTCATTTAGAGTCTCACACTCCCTCCCGCCCGGCCCTGGGGGGGAGAAGCCTTTTGATAATTTTCTTTCCTTTCCTTGACTTACTGACTAAAAACCCTCTCGTTTCTTCTTCTGTTTTAAGTCCTAGATACTTAGAATTAAAAATATAATGTGATAGATATAAAAATCTATTTTCCACGTACATTTTTGGCCAGCGGTCAGGTTAGGTTTAGAATTGTACAGCATTATTTTTTTTGGAATACGGTAAAAGGACAGATGCATTATCTTATAGTTAATCTATACTAATATTATAAAGAGGTAAAATTTGTGAGTTTGTATGTAGGGTGTAAACTTTGGAACCGCTGGTCGGATTGCCAAAATTCTTTCACTGATAGATAGCTACAATTAATGTTCCCGAGTGTTATATGCTATAAAACATCACCCTAAAACTAATAGGAGCCGAACAGCAGGTCAAAACCGAGCGACAGAAAGATAGTTAATTTGCAAATATGGGTAATACAATAAGATGTGGCGTTTAGTCAGGTACATTATGAACTCAGTCATATTTTGGTAAACAATCATGGCGCCCGTGGACACCCACAACACCAGAGGAGTAACAAGTACGTTGCCAGCCTTTGTGTACCTATCTGTTACGTTAGTCTGTTCACGTCCCTAAGATAATAAGAAAAATCCTCTCTCAGCGCTAGAAATCATCAAATTAATGACCCAGGGTGGAGTGTCAGACTTTTAACTAAAAACACCCCCGTTCCTTCTCCTGCTCTAGGTCGATGCCACGCTGCCTTATTGCGCTTACCCCGCAACCTCGGCTGAACATCAGCCCTATAGGGCTCCGTCTGTTTAGGTCTATTGGCTCTTTGAGGCGCGCGCGGAACGCTACGCGCCGTGCGCTCGGGTCTGGTTCTGGTCGGGCGGCGAGCTACCCTTACTCGCTGTCCGCAGACCCGCGCTAACGGTGGCTCCCCTATACACACCCCTTAGCACACAGCTCGCTACAAGCAGTAGTTACAGCTATGTGCAGGTCTGTGAATCACTTAGTCACCGTCAACGGAAGATTTTCTTCGTTAACAAATAATCGCATGATCTAGTGCAAAATACAATATCAACTGACAACGGAAATCCCAGAAAAATATATTTTATCAAAACATATTTATTTACAATCCGTATTGAACCGGTTAAAAGCGGTTACAACCAATATGGCTGTATCTCGACAAGGAAATATCTTTATATGAACGCTATATAGATTTTTCTTCGAAAATAGGTTATTTTTTTTATGTAATAGGTCGGGAAACTATTACACGGATTACCTGATGGTAAGCAATCAGCGCCGCCCATGAACACCCGCAACGGAGGAGTTGCCACGAGTGCGTTGCCGACCTTTTAGGGATTAGGGTTTTGGACACTTTGGGATTGGGGAGGGATCGGGGGAGGGAAAGGATTGGGTCTCCAGCAACCTCACTCACACGGCGGAACACAACGCTGTGGTTGTGTCACGCCGGTTTTCTGTGAAACCGTGGTATCATTCCGGTCGAGCCAACACGTTTATGGCGAAGCATGGCTCTCCCACACTTAAAAATATTACGATTTTGCTCTTTATATTAAAACCCGTAGCCAGTAGTTAAAGACACACATCTCATGTCTGAAGGTTCGAAACCTGGCAAGTACCAATGTGACTTTTCCCGAGTTATATGTACTTTCTATGATTATTAAGACACCACTGACATGCGGTGAAGGTAAACATCGTGAGGAAACCTGAACTTATAATTTCAAATTATGCTTTTAAATCGCCAATCCGCCTTGAGTAAGCGTGGTGGTTAATGCTCAAACCTTCTCCGTGTGAGAAGAGGCCTTTGCTCAGCAGTGGGCACTTATAAGTTGATGATGTAACGTAAGCCTAATGTGTAAAAATTCCGGATAAGGATTAAGACGTTATGAAAATCTAAAATCGATCGAATGCGTCACTTTGATAAAGAAAAAAAAAGCATTAGTCATGTATTTTTTCTTCCGTCGTAAAACAAAACAATTTATACTTCTATACTTATTTATACTTCTATACTTATTTATTTTTAATATATCTATACTATACTAATATTATAAAGAGGTAAAATTTGTAAGTTTGTATGTTGGGGGTAATCTTTAGAACCGCTGGTCGGATTGCCAAAATTCTTTCACTGATAGATAGCTACAATGTTCCTGAGTGCTATAGGCTATAAAACATCACGCTACGATCAAATGAAGCTAAACAGCGGTCGAAACCGCGCGAGAGTAGCTAATAATATTATAAAGCTGAAGAGTTTGTTTGTTTGAACGCGCTAATCTCTGGAACTGCTGGTTCGATTTGAACAATTCTTTCTGTGTTTGTTAGTCCAGTTATTGAGGAAGGCTATAGGCTAAAAACATTACGCTACGATATGTAGGAGCCAGCGGGTGAAACCATTACATTATATATAGGTAGTATTTAGTTACAAGTAAATTTAATTGTTATTAAAGATACTCACTGACCCCACAGTCAAACCATTACAACGGTTTTGTGGGGCTTAGCACATAAGATGGCTACCTTTTTGATATAAGATAAATAAATAAATAATAATAAATAATACATTTTTTATTCATTACTGTACCCCTATGTGAGAACAATGCAGGGACAATAGCTAGTAGTTAGATAAAAATAATTAAAGTTTAAGAATGGGATGTCTCTACGTCATTGCTCAGCTTATAAAATGGAGTCACCGCTCGTGACGTCACACAATATTCCTAATCAATATTACGTCGATCGTTTTTTTTCAGTCGGCAAACGAGCCGATTACCTGATGGTAAGCAATCAGCGCCGCCCATGGACACTCTTAATACCAAAGGAGTTACTACACGTTGCCGACCTCTTGTGGGTTGTTAGGGATTTCAGGATTTGCGGATTGAGGATAGAGGGAAGGATTGGGCCTCCGGTAAACTCACTCACACGGCTAGTGTGCGAGAGCCATGCTTCGGCACGAATGGGTCGGCTCGACCGGAGTGATACCACGGCCTCACAGAAAATCGGCGTGAAACTACCACAGCGTTGTGTTTCGCCCTATGAGTGAGGTTATCGGAGGCCCAATCTTTCACTAATCCCAAAATCTGCAAATCCCTAATCCTCATAAAGGTCGGCGACGCACTTGTAACTCCGTTCTGTTCCGTGGGTGCCCATGGGCGGCGCTGATTGCTTACCATCAGGTAATCCGTCTGCTCGTTTGCCGACCTATCACAGAAAAAACAATATAGTATAGTATCCTTTTGTTGTGCGTTATATAATTTTGTTATCAGTAAGATTAGGTCTATCCGACTGTTATCATCGGCCCCTTATCACAATCGTTGTGGAGATCGCACTTCGCTATAGAATACACACATTGTCTAGTATTCTGTCATTTTTAGGTCTAAAAACGAGCAGACGGATTACCTGATGGTAAGCAAGCCACTCATGGACAGTAGTAGTTACCAAAGGAGTTCCTAGACATTGACGACCTCTTTTTGGTCATTAAGGATTCATAATTAGGTTAGGGATTTGAGGATTAAGGGTGGGGGGAGGAGGATTGGGTCTCCGAAACACAACATCTTAAGTTTGGATACCCTGATGATTGCTTACCATCAGTTTATCCGTCTGTTCGTTTGTTGCTCTATCTATACTAATATAATAAAGAGGTAAAATTTGTAAGTTTGTATGTAGGGGGTAATCTTTGGAACCGCTGGTCGAATTGCCAAAATTCTTTCACTGATAGACAGCTACAATATTCCTGAGTGCTATAGGCTATAAAACATCACGCTACGATGAAATAGAGATATAAAAAACTAAGTTACCTACTTCAGGTTTTCACAATTGAAACAAGCCTTGAACCTATTGCCATGTAGCTGCGTGACTTTTTATATAATACATATACATATTCTATACATATATAATATTGACTATACTTTTTCATGGCTCTGTGTGGTCGTTGCTAAGGAACGTACCTATTATTCCTAGATCTGGTTCTTGACCTTTTTCGTGTGTGATTTTTTTATAGACTGATGAAGAAGGGTATAGACGTGATGATACTTTGATTATGTGATGACGGATTATCTGATGGTAAGCAAGTTCGACGTTGAAATGTGCCTGTAAGAGTCTAATTGACATCAAAGACTTTGACTTCGACTTGACAGCCCCGGATGGTTGACATTTGACAGCCTTTTGTGGATCAGGGTTTCGGATATTTAAGTATTGGGGGGGGGGGTATGGGGAGGGTACCCTAACTCACACGGGGAAATCGGGGTTTCACGTCAGTTTTCTGCAAGGCCGTTGTATCACTCCGGGTCGAGTCGACCCTTTCGTACCAAAGCATGGCTCTCCCACACTCAACATTTTTAATTTGTATGTCAAATATTTATTAGCAGTCATACTAAGCTGTTACGATAGTACTTCATATTAGTATTTCTATTCCCGCACGGGACAACTCTTTGTGTGATCCACAAATTTTTGTTCCGTGAGTCTGGCTGTGATGTGTATGTGAAATTGTATGTTTGTAAACGCCCCAATGATACAAGAGAAAATCCTAACGCGAGGCATCTAAAAAGAATTAGAACCAAAGAGTTCTAATACGAA